TCTCTCTCTCTCTCTCTCTCTCTCTCTCTCTCTCTTGATTGCGCGTGTCTTCTCCTTTCTCTCTCTCTCTATCTCTCTCTCCTCTCTCTTGTTCTCTTTGTCTCCCCCTCCCTCTGATTTTTCACTCCCACTCTTTTTATCCATACCCCAGTCTCTCTCTCCATCTGTCTACCTCTTTTGCTTGCTCGCTCACTCTCTTCGTACCCCTCTCTTTTGTCTTCCTCTCCTTTCTTACTCTTTCTCTCCCTCTCCTGTTTTTCTCCCTCTCCTGTCTCACTCACTCTCTAGCCGTGCAATCGTTCCTGAGACGATTCTATTAATGCTAAACATCTCATTATATCACCCGAGCTGTCTGCTTTCACCGAGGCGTGTTGAATTACGTGAAAACCCAGCTTACTACAAAAACACGCGGGATGCAAACATTTTAAAATTCCCGGGATTTATGTGACATGATAGTGTACATGGCGACCTTTAAGAGTTATTATCATTTAGTAACTGGATGCAGAGATTAGCAGGAGGGAGCATGCGTTTCTCCGAGACGAATTCTCAACGTTTCTACGGGATGCTGTTAAACTGGGTCGCATTCACTTTTTTGGTTTTTATTCTTTCGCGCGCATGCGCATCTCGTGAAATATCAAGCGCTAATATAAGTTTTGTGGAATTTGTTTTGGAATTGTGGACTTTTTCTAAACACGATAATTGCAAATAACAAAGCTTAATTGACTAATACACATATATACACACATATACGGATGTGCGCACCCACGCACGCACACACGCACGCACGCACGCACGCATCCACGCTCGCACACACGCGCGCACAAATAACGTACAAGAGTTTCGTTTTGTTTACATCACTACATCATAGATGAATATAATTTGTACAACCGTATGGTTCATTTATTGTTTTATATTATTATACTATATATTATTTGCGTCGTTCTACTTATATGTTCTAATAATATAATATATCATAATACTTGTTCGTCGTTCTACTTTAATATAATATTACTACTTATGTGATATACAGAATTTATGTCACAATTCAAAATAGGTGCAAAAAATAATGTCATAATTTTAAAACAACGAGTTATTGCATGATTTACAGCACGTTCTAAAATATCTGTACAGTAGCTGCGTATAACGCAGAAACGTTAAAAAGATTACACTACTAACCCTATTATTACAAAAATACGCAGTCAGGGTGGTATTCTTACGACAATACTGCAACGAACGTTTTTGAAATAGTATGTGTTTATATATATATATATATATATATATATATATATATATATATATATATATATGCATTATTACGTCGCATACAATAATATGGTACATATTACTGATATAAAGTAGCGGGGACGTGAGCTTACGCTGGTGATACTTTGGTCGTCTTCCTGACCGCAGTGACGTTAGCATCGTCATCGTCGCCGGTCGCTGACTTCTCCTTCGTGTTCTTCGCCGTTAACTTGCACTTGGCGCCGTTGGGCTTTGCGTCTGCTTTCGCTTTCTCTTCGTCGATCTGCATGGCCTCCTTCGAGTGGCGCCACTTCATTCGGCGATTTTGAAACCAGACTTTTACCTGGCGCGTAAAGGCAGGAGAGGTGTACGGTGAACATGGGTTTCTGTGAGGGACAACTAAGCAGTCTCCAGCCCACGTGCAGCTGACATGCAATGTGTGTAGTTTTTTTAATTTAAATAATTTTATTCTCTTACGATATATCTCTACATTGTGAGTTGTGCTTTTAAATTAGTAGAAATGCATTTATTTTCTAATTTCAGTAGATTTAGTTCTCCTGAACGCCATCTCTGAGTGACGAGGAACGTTTTAAACTACTAGAAAGTAAATGAGATCATGGATTAATTTAATGTAAATCGGTCACCATGATTTTAATTCATTAATAGGAGAATCCTTATTTCTAGACACAGTGGTGAGTGAAGGAATTACGTGATTACGCATAAACCATTGGCAAATAATAAAACCAATCATAGTTCGAATTTAATCTAAACCGTTCAACATTATTTTAATGCATTTAAGAGTCTCAGAGACCGAAGGATCTCAAGCGACACGGGTGAGCCAAGAAAATACACGTAAACTCGTTTCGGCAAACAGTAAAATGCGATGATTGTCTTCGTGAGACCTACTTGAGCGTCTGTTAGACCCAGCAGTCCAGCCAATTGTCGTCTGTCCGGCTTTGTCACGTACTTCTGCACGGAGAAGCGTTTCTCCAGACCTTTCCTCTGCAAGTTGGAGAAGACGGCTCTAGTCCACGATCTCTTCCTCTTCGTGGTTGGCTGTTGGGTGTCATAGTCTATTTTCGAATAAGGATCTGCGCGTAACAGTAACGAAATGGGTAGAGCGTTATACTTTTGTTTATATTCTGAACGTCATAGCTTGAATAATACGTGTGTATGAAATTTATCGATAATTAGAATTTATCGATTTATATAATAAAACAATATTATAATATTATAAATAAAACGCTAGAGGTGGTCGTCGCGCCCTCTGATTGGTTGGAGCTAGGAGCAGGTTGACTGAACTAAAACTCAGCTTCAAGGTCATGCTACCACGTGCAGGTGCACTCGTGCGTAACGCCGACGCTGATATTAACGCTCTGCTAACGAAACTACGTTACACCGATGACAACACAAATAATAAAACGCCGATGATTCGATGTAACGATGCTGTGGCTGATCTGTATCTGTATTGTGTTGTGTTGTGTTGTGATCTGTATTGTGTTTTTATTACTGGATACGCCGTAGTGTCTACACTCTGTCACTCACACGGAAACTGTATATAGTTATTACGAGTATCGACATGGCTGAACCGTGCACGAGAACGCGCAGGTGACGTTTATTATGCGTGCTTATCTAACATCACGGGAGTGAGTGATCAACACTCATAAGACATCAACGTGAAACTTGACGAAGAAGACGACCAGAGAACATTGAGGGAAACAGGAGAACGATTGAAGATAAGAATAAAACGAATCTCCGTGGACATCATCAACTTACTACCAGATCAGCTATCATTACTAGACTACCGGATGTCAATCATCAACAACCTGCTATGACCGTCGAGGAGCGTGACGTAGGAAACATCTGAGTTACAAGTGTGAGTACTGTCAACGCAAAATATCGTCCACGAGAGCAAAATAAATCTACGAAATACACTAAATGATGTCGTGATCGTAGAAAGGTGTCACCCGAGTCACTGATTCCCCCCGCATACTCTGCTACGAGATATTCGACTCGAGTTCAAGCGGGAAAAACAGATTTGCCATGCACTAAACAAACCAAGGCTGTATGCCGGAAGTAACGCTACTATTGGATGAGATGCTGCGACAAGTTCCTCGATTCGGTGAGTCATATAAACAAATGCATGAAATTACCCAAACCGATTCAACATATAGTGTGAGCGGGGTATTTATGGGCGATCCAAACCTTGACAATAGACACTATCATAGTCCTGCATCATTACCGGCGTTGTGTACAAGCCACGAGGCTGTGCGCGCTACGCGAGTATGTATGGCCAATAAGTATATATATATTCTTATAACTATTACTTTAACTTTATGTATAGTATTCTTATAACTATTACTTTAACTTTATGCAGTATTCTTATAACTATAACCAGTATAAAGTCATCAATCAATCACGACATCAATTTAAAACGATAGAAAACCTAATACGAACACCGCGCGTAAATACGCGCGCGCGCGTGAATACTTCGAATTCATCTCGAAATTATTTTACCGCGCGCGCGTGAATACTTCGAATTCATCTCGAAATTATTTTATATTGCAAAAACAAAAAATACGGTGACATTATTTCAAGATCTCTATATTCGTTGCACAAGCGACTATAGAATCTCACCCTGGTAAGATTCTCTGCTTGAACCCAACTGTCCAAGCACGTGAAACGAGTAGTTGAGCGCATTTGCCGCCGCCGCTGCCGCCGCTGTGGTTCCGTGACCCAGCAGGTTAGAATAGCCGGCGATGTCCACTCGGTGGTCAGTCGCGTGTCCGTACCGTATGTCAGCGCACGGTGGCTGCAGTACGGGCCACGGGCGATGCACGTACTTGCCGTGGACGGTGTCCGAGTGAGTGGACAAACCGGACAACGGAGCTAGAACTTAAAATAAATAATATACAAATTCATTTATTACACACGACTACAATATATCATATCGCACATGCACAGAATTATTTTATTGCGTTAAGGATATATTATATTTAGGTGACGTGTTTCTTGTTGACCACTAATGCCACTAAAATCATTACATGTCATTATTTTAACGTCACGATTTTATCGATAACATTTAAACATTTAATTCTTCTCGTCAGTTATTAATGAATATCACGGAATGATACGCACGAACGTCCGCGGGAGTGAACCCAGTCATCGGTCACCCACTCTCCCGCGTCGCCGGGACGAGAAATAAGTTCCTTTTCCATCAACCACATTACCTTTCTTCGGTCGTATATCGTCCGACAATATCCGATTGATCCCGAATTTCAGTTCCGAAGAGCCGACCGGACTCGATCCGGTTAGCTGGGCGGGAGTCCGGCATTCCGGTAGCACCGGGGACGGTTGTGTGGCGCGCGTGCTTTCGGCAGGTTGGCATCTGTGCGTTACCTCTCGCGAGAGCGCCGCCACGGGACTCACGGATGATCGTAGTTTGGACATGGCGTCCGTGCCTCGGGGCTGGGGAAGCCAGGGGAGGATGTAGGGAGCGTAACTCGAATGCTGGACGGAGGAGGAGGGCGAGTAGAGATACACGCCGTTAACATACATCACAGGTTGGCCGCTCGCTGACTCTCAATGCGCCAGCGTTCCTTTGCGAATGATCTTTATCCAGAAGATTTCTAAGACGGCCGACGGTGAAGCAAAGATGGCCGAATGAGTGGTCTTGCGCGATGGTGATTGTTTTGAGTAATCTTGCTTGATCTTGCGTGATCTTTCGTGATCTTGAGAGATTTCGTGTGATCGATAGCTTGCTTTACGTGACCTTGCGTGATCTTGCGTGTGCATGTGTGATCTCGAGTGAGTTGTTTGTGATCTTGCGATAAAATATTGGGAAATATAGTCGTTCGAGCGTTCGCTCCGACGATAAGGAACAAACGCAGCTATGAAGTTACAATCACTGCTGTTCTCGCTGAACCAGTTTTTACTGTTGTTCCCGCTGAACAAATGTTCTTCTGCTGTTCTCGCCGAACAATTCCTGTTTTGTTGCTCCCACTGAACAAGTGTTGTTCTGTAGTATTCGTTGATCCACCGCTGTTCTGTTATTCTCGTTTAATAACTCCTGTTCGGTTGTCCACCAGTACAGAGCGTCCGCATTCGATGACATCCACAAATGTTTCTTCCAGCGCCGATGCGTTCGTTTTTGCTGGATTATAATATACTTTGCGCCACGTAGAAGTTATCACCTGACGTCACATCTGACGTACGCACGCATACACCCCCACACACACACACGCGGACATCCTACACGTTCTCCCGTACGCAGCAATTCTAGTTCACTTGTTTCCGTGTGTCAGATTACTAGGGTGCCAACTCGGCTGCTTCGCGCTTCGCAGCGCGCATGCGCAACTGACTCGCGGTCGGAGTGCGCAACAGGTTAGCGCGAATGGATACATATACGCACATGGTCACACGATACGTTATAAGTGGCATGTAACATAGCCTTTGTTACTCGCAAATTGTTAATCGCAATTGCACTACTTCGTCTCTAGAAAAAAAACTTCTTTTAAAAAATTTGCTTAAAATTTGGTACTAGACTGCAGTAATTTGCAGTATGCGCGCAAGGTATAGATGCCTCGTGGACGTCTAGAACGCATTAGAAGGGAGATTGGTTTTGTTGTGTAATTGTGCAATTACGTCGAGTGGTGTAGCCATGGTGACCGGTCGGCCATTTTTGTGTTTGAAACGGGATCTGACTACATGCTGACAATTCTAGAAAACAATCTGGCAAATGTTTCGAGTAAAGATTGCTCTTTGAATCTGTAGTGATTTAGCATTAATAAAGTGTTTGTCGCGTATGCGCTGAAACTCTTTAAATATTTATAATTGACCTCTGTTCGATGCTTATATATTCAGGCCTGCTGCCTATGAACGACTTACACTGTTGCACACCATCCATAGGTGCTGCGCGAACGCGTCTGCAGTCGCTTTAAGATTGTTCTGTTTCGTATCGTATTTCATCGATTCATGAGATGGATCTTTTAGAAGGATATCGTATGAAAGGAAGCGTATCGTGTGTATTCGTCTCTAGGAAATCTAATACAAACTACATTATAATTACCCCATTTACCGCAGTCGAGTGTTATTGCGGATATTATTATTTATTACGGAAACGACCATTAGAAACGACGTGATCTTTCGTGATATTGAGAGATTTCGTGTGATCGATAGCTTGCTTTATGTGACCTTGCGTGATCTTGCGTGTGCATGTGTGACCTCGAGTGAGTTGTTTGTGATCTTGCGATAAAATATTGGGAAATATAGTCGTTTGAGCGTTCGCTCCGACGATAAGGAACAAACGCAGCTATGAAGTTACAATCACTGCTGTTCTCGCTGAACCAGTTTTTACTGTTGTTCTCGCTGAACAAATGTTCTTCTGCTGTTCTCGCCAAACAATTGCTGTTTTGTTGCTCCCACTGAACAAGTGTTGTTCTGTAGTATTCGTTGACTCACCGCTGTTCTGTTATTCTCGTTTAATAACTCCTGTTCGGTTGTCCACCAGTACAGAGCGTCCGCATTCGATGACATCCACAAATGTTTCTTCCAGCGCCGATGCGTTCGTTTTTGCTGGGTTATAATATATTTTGCGCCACGTAGAAGTTATCACCTGACGTCACATCTGACGTACGCACGCATACACCCCCACACACACACACACACGCGGACATCCTACACGTTCTCCCGTACACAGCAATTCTAGTTCACTTGTTTCCGTGTGTCAGATTACTAGGGTGCCAACTCGGCTGCTTCGCGCTTCGCAGCTCGCATGCGCAACTGACTCGCGGTCGGAGTACGCAACAGGTTAGCGCGAATGGATACATATACGCACATGGTCACACGATACGTTATAAGTGGCATGTAACATAGCCTTTGTTACTCGCAAATTGTTAATCGCAATTGCACTACTTCGTCTCTAGAAAAAAACTTCTTTTAAAAAATTTGCTTAAAATTTGGCACTAGACTGCAGTAATTTGCAGTATGCGCGCAAGGTATAGATGCCTCGTGGACGTCTAGAACGCATTAGAAATGAGATTGGTCTTGTTGTGTAATTGTGCAATTACGTCGAGTGGTGTAGCCATGGTGACCGGTCGGCCATTTTTGTGTTTGAAACGGGATCTGACTACATGCTGACAATTCTAGAAAACAATCTGGCAAATGTTTCGAGTAAAGATTGCTCTTTGAATCTGTAGTGATTTAGCATTAATAAAGTGTTTGTCGCGTATGCGCTGAAACTCTTTAAATATTTATAATTGACCTCTGTTCGATGCTTATATATTCAGGCCTGCTGCCTATGAACGACTTACACTGTTGCACACCATTTATAGGCGCTGCGCGAACGCGTCTGCAGTCGCTTTAAGATTGTTCTGTTTCGTATCGTATTTCATCGATTCATGAGATGGATCTTTTAGAAGGATATCGTATGAAAGGAAGCGTATCGTGTGTATTCGTCTCTAGGAAATCTAATACAAACTACATTATAATTACCCCATTTACCGCAGTCGAGTGTTATTGCGGATATTATATTTATTACGGAAACGACCATTAGAAACGACCAACCTAAAATTTGATATTGAAGCACGAAATTAACATAATTGCAAAAAACCTGTTTTCGGTATGATTCAAGACTTCGCGTCAAAACCGGGAGAAAATTATTATCTTACATATAAGAAATAGGTGCATTTTTAAAATCATGTTATAATAGACACGTTCACGCATTAATACGTATACAATATCACATTTACAATATCATATTTTAGGTTGATGAAATCGTAGAACTTTAGCGTGTGTGCGCAGCAGAAAAATTTGCGATTGTGTGCAATATTTTACTTCGCAGAGCGTTAAAATCGGATTAAATTATTCATCCCTGGAATTTTTTTATAAATTCAGCAGACGAATATACCCGGAAGAGTCTGACGAGGTGTTAGTTCAGATCCTCTAACTTGCGCTTCCAAGCCGAGACCGATCATTCGTTGTTTACACATCTCTGCAAGCACGCAGGCTGGCTAGTAAACAGCGCCTCAACATATGGTTCTCAATTGTCATCTCATATAACCGCATAGAGCGGTATAAATTCTACCGCGCTATCATAGTTTGGCGTCCCGTCGGGCAGTACAGGAATGTTCAGTTCTGCATCGTCGCTGTGTGTGCCGCGAGTATTGTAAGGAGATCCGATGCCGTTCTGCGGGATTTTAGTCTACTGAGCAGTCCGCTACTGCGCACGCGCGTTTTGGCGCAATGCCAGATCCGGTAAAATGTAGCCGCGTGTACGATTCGAAGTAGATTTAACCATGGTGAGATGTCGATGAGTGAATTTGATAAGATGCTGCATGACATGGCCGCTGAAGCCCGCGACACGCGGCGGCGCGGTGCGATGAAAAATGCTTTCCTTCAGATTTCATAAAAATTCTCCGAATTCATAAACCTTAAACCTAAGAATCAGAAAAACCCCGTCAGCTTGGCAAGTAAAACGAGCATATGAATCCGGGAGATATGGCCGACGAGAGCCGTGATTTGGCCAATTATATGAATATAGACTGCTCTGCTCGTATATGTTGTTGTATAGCATCCTACTGTTTGATGTCTCATCTTCCGACTGCAGACGATGTTTGTATATAAATATAATATGCGAGTAATATTCTCGTTCAAAAATAGCATATATGCTATTACAGAATATGCAGTGAATATATGACTATATAGATTAACAACAGAGAGAACAAATCGTTTCCACGCTCTATATGAATGAGATTCTGCTATGTTGCAATATGATGCTTGTGCTATTGTGGTCCATTCAATTCGACGCGTGGTTCTGCTATGTTATAGCATGAATTAAGACGTAACGTAACTGCGATGTATTAATTACACCTATCACAAACGTAAACGTACAAACGTTAGTACGCGGTAAGATATGGCGAGGGAGGAGGTGAGCGGAGTGCAAAATAACGGAGGGGGAGAGGGCTACAACGACAAGGCAGTATCCTCCCAGGCACGTATAGCGAGATTAGCAGCACACGCAGCACCGGGCCAGTCGCAACGCGGTTGTATGTATACACGCGCTAGCAAAATGGCCGGCTAGAATACGTGGCGAGAACATAAGCTGACAAGTGGCTTTCAATGCGGTGTAATTAGCACGCTCGGCTATTGCCAGACGAGACCACCTCGGGCGCCCGTGAAACCCAAGTAAATTATGGCCCGGCCCGCCGCCCGCAGCTTTGTTTATCTCCATAGCTTATTCTAACGTTATTGCGCCCGTTCTAAATATTTATTTGACGCGCTTCGACGAAACGTTTTGACAGCGTCTGTGGGGGCGGGGTCGCCGCGTTCGGTGGCGGGGGCCGCTCTCCGTGCGCGGGCAGCAATAACGAGTTATATACGACTGATGTGCGCGCATCAGCGGAGACTGCTGCTGCTATTAGCGATGTTGTAGTTTACACAGAGTGGCTCATTTTCGCGCGGCTGGGCAGCGTCAGTCAAGAGCAGGCAACGCGCGCCCTCTATCGACGAACTCCCCCCCCCTCCCGTGCGCAGCTCAACCCACCCTCTCCTCCACGCGGCGCTCGGCGGAGAATGTTTCGGGGGGGGGGGAGGAAAGAAAAGTTTCTCCCGCGCGAGAGGGAATAACTCGGCGTCGGCGATGACTTCCTCGCGGCGAGATTTCGCGGGCGCGGAAATAAACGCGGCGTCGGTGCGCGCGGGTCTTAGAACGGATCCTCGGGCGAGAGCGAGATGGCGATGTGTGAGAGGCAACAGCCGCCTCGCCGCTCGCTACCTAGTCGTAGCTGACAGCTCTGTACGCGTTACATGCGACGGCGAAGTAAACAGCTCGTGTTTTTACGCCGACGTCGAGGAATCCAAAGTTTATATTTTATATACACATTATTATATACACGAGTTTATCCCGAATATATATCGATATATATATATATATATCGATATATATATATATATATATATATATATATATATATATATATATATATCGTACTATATAT